ATCAGGTATAGTTAACAAGAGAAAAGATAAAGTTGAAAACTGTTGATCCAAATAAATACACTAGTTCACATGGAGGGACGGATACAGTGGGCCTCAGATTTATTTACTAGGTTACCAAAAACCAAAAATTCGTTCACAAGGTTTGGTGTCAAAATATTTGTCGTTCAAGATCAGTTTTTACTCTGGACGTTGGCCATTTAGCAAGTTTAATTTGTTGGGACACCCTATAAACGTCACTAGTCGGAATATTTATTAAGTTTATCTTTCAAATTCTTTTCTCATCGTTACTTTTACGCAAAGTAATAAAACGTATTGTTTACTGAAAAATGTTAAGATAACGTTAAGTACATATTTGAAAACATTCATTTCTAGAATGTACAATGTACATTTACACAGTTCACCTTAAAGATTGTTATAAAGAAAAGTCGCTATGATTAAGAAAATTGAAAAGAATCTGTCATTTCAATTTATACTGTTGTACTGTTCTTTTTATACTGTTGTTTAGAGTTAGAGTTGCATCAGTTATATTAGTTATATTCTAGCTGAAGAGCCCGGCGTTGCCCGTGGAATAAAAAATTTGAAAAAAAAATCTTTTAAATTTCGACAAATTAAAAAAGAATTGAATAACACCCAGGCTACCCATGAGTGTCCGTAAAAAAAATTCAGCTCAATCGGTCCAGTCGTTTGGCCGGTTATACGCAACACATATATACGAATGTCTTGTTTTATTATATAGATAGATAGATATTAGTTAAGAGTTATATTACTTATATTAGTTATATAGTTATATTTATATTTTTAATATCTATGTACAGGACAAGGTGGCTGCAGTACGTATAGCTGCTACTGTTGTACTATCGAATATAATCCAACTACAGGATACGGAACTTAACAACTACCTCAATGGAGAACTAGCAGATAAGGTACAGTGGTCATGAAGTACAAACTTAAGATTTGTTTGAATATTTTTTGCTTATTGCATCATGATACCAATTTTTAAAATTTCTGTTAAGATATTTTCAATCAAACCATAATCTGAAGCAAGATTTAAATATTTGATATTCTAGTTGGCGCACAGTACACATTGGAATCGAAGACAAACATTCGGAGTTTTATGTAGCGAGCTGGTCATCAGTATACCTTACTCATCCTTCTCCCAGGTATACAATCCCTTTAGTCATCCTGCTCCTAGGTATACAATCCCTTTACTCATCCTTCTCCTAGGCATACAATCCCTTTACTCGTCCTTCTCCTAGGTATACAATCCCTTTACTCATCCTTCTCCTAGGCATACAATCCCTTTACTCATCCTTCTCCCAGATATACAATCCCTTTACTCATTCTTCTCCTAGATATACAATCCCTTTACTCATCCTTCTCCCAGGTATACAATCCCTTAACTCATCCTTCTCCTAGGTATACAATCCCTTTACTCATCCTTCTCCTAGGTATGCAATCCCTTTACTCATCCTTCTCCCGGGTATGCAATCCCTTTACTCATCCTTCTCCCAGGTATACAATCCCTTTACTCATCCTTCTCCTAGGTATGCAATACCTTTACTCATCCTTCTCCCAGGTATACAATCCCTTAACTCGTCCTTCTCCCAGGTATACAATCCCTTTACTCATCCTTTCCTTCTCCCAGGTATACAATCCCTTTACTCATCCTTTCCTTCTCCCAGGTATACAATCCCTTTACTCATCCTTTCCTTCTCCCAGGTATGCAATCCCTTTACTCATCCTTCTCCCGGGTATGCAATCCCTTTACTCATCCTTTTCCCAGGTATACAATCCCTTTAATCATCCTTCTCCCAAGTATACAATCCCTTTAATCATCATTCTCCTAGATATATAATCCCTTTACTCACCCTTCTCCCAGGTATACAATCCCTTTAATCAAAGAAGAAATCAGAAGATATAGTTGAAGTAAGATTCTCTTAATAATACTGAGAAACGATACATAATCTAAACGATAAAAAAAAATCCAAAATTTCCAACATATCTGTTTTATAATTATGTTCTTATTAGGATTTGCTCCCGCATTTATTGGATTTGAGTTGGGATCGGGTTCCTAATGTGAGAATGCAGGTTGCAAAAGTTCTAGGATACTCTCTTCCAGATGGTAATATATTTATTATTATTTTCACTATTTTTCAATAATTATTTTTTATTATTAATATTAATATTTTAATTTTCTTATATTTTTCTCTTTGTTCAGAATACTACGATGATGAGAGTTTGGCCTCACATGACCTCATTGTACAGGCTTTAAATCAATTGTCCAGAGACGATGATTCAGATGTGAGAGAGGCTGCGGCCTCTGGGCACAGGGTCAACAACTGTCCTCCTCCTGTACAGATGGAGGTTGTGGTGGCCGGGGAAGAAGAAGCGGGCGTGTCTGGTTCCCCCAGCTGGGCGGAGATCGCTGCTAAATAAATCTTTTGTCTTGGATTTAGTTTTATTTGTTCAAAATTTGTCCATATTTCATTCTGCTGGGTTTTGTGNATTTAAACAAATATTATCCGAGATAATTTATAATCGGAACAGGGTTTACAATACATTTCGAATCGTTCTAATAAATAGAATACTGGATTACTGGTGCCATTTTTTACCAAAACCGTAGTAGACTGCGATAGTAGGAAGAGGGCGAGAGATGTTAGTCGCTGTGATTTCATTATTTTCCTACACATTATACGCAATTTTTAGAAATATACAAAGAATTATACGCATTTTTTATTTAGTTGGAAGTTAGAGAGATGTCTATTTTATTTTGGTAGCAATAATCTGGAGTAGCCAAGTTCCTAGTAACATAAAACTAGTATGAATTGTTTAGATATAATACAGTTAAACCTTAAATAAGCCATACATCGAAAGAATCCAAAATTAAATTGTCAAGACGACATTTAATAAATTCTTTCGATGTATGGCTCATTTAGGGTTTAACTGTATATTTTCTCAAGTTCACTTTTACTAGTATCCTTAAAATTTAATTCGAAATTTTGAGGCTGCTAAAAAATATTTTGGACAGCTTGTAAACCTACTTTTCTCACGAGCTCGTCAATTACGTGAATTCTTGAATTTATAGTTAATGCAGAAAGATTTAAGTTCTTAAATTAAAAGTTCTAAGGTCGTCAAGTCTGCTACGTTAATGACAATCTCGTAAACATGGCTGATTAAATAAAGCAGATTTTCTGAAGCATTTCATTCTGCCAAATATTTAAATACTTTTCGAAATGTCGTCGTTGGTATCTTCGTCGTTTAATTCATAGATTAATAACAATACAGATAGATCACTAAACGTCGTCTTTTCACAATAACCTTGAGGCCGAAGCCCACAGAAGTTCCGCGCAGGCAGCGTCAAATTACAAGTCAGCGAGAGAGCATACGCTGCCTGCGCGGAACTCTTTTGGGCGTTCACAAAGTCAATTTATACGAAGACAATTCTGACCGCACATTGCACAGATTATTACGTTATATTTTGCTAACTTTTATTCATTTTAAAAGAAAACAATAAATAGAATAATCGCATGCACCATGTAATACTACTACTTCAACAACGTTTTTTAAATGAATCATTTCTATAACAAACAAAATCTCATGAAAATATATTGCCTTGACATGACACTTAAGGTGAATAGTTTTGGATTCTTCCATATACTACAGGGTGTCCCACGAAACATGACAATAGCAAGACGACTTGGAAGTCGTCTTTGGTATTTGAATTTATTTGTGACATTTAGTCTTGTATCTACTTTAACATATATGATTCTTGAAACAATTATCACATAATTCTCATAGCCCTGGCATTTCCAAAAAGTGGTCTGCGTTTTTTGTGCTTTCAATATTACCGGAGATATAAAGATCGTTTGGTTCAGATTTCAATTTTGTTAAATAAAAGCAAAATTGTCGAAATCTGAACGAAATTCTTCATATCTCGGGCAATATTGAAAGCACAAAAAGGCAGACCACATTTTGGAAATGGCAGGACAAGGGAAATTTTTTGAATATTATCTCTAGAAATTTACTTCTAAAATTAGGTTGACAAATAAACGCAGCAAATTATATCAAAAATCAAGACGACATTCAAGACGTCCTGCATACTGTCATGTTTCGTGGGACACCCTGTATATTAGATATTAAAGACTTTTTGCAGTTTATTTAGTTTTTAAAAACTTTACGCAAATATACTTTACTTAAAAAATCAATTTTACTATGAATATAAAATATTCATTATTATTCTCTCTGGTAACAAACAACTTGACATATTTGGGAAGAAAACATTTTTAACTATTCACCAACTGTTATGTTTCGTGGGACACTGCATATTTTCGTTCATAAACACAGGAAGTGAGAGAAGATTATAAATGTTGTCTTTTACTACACATCAATGCTTATAGCCTACAAAGGGAGAGTGCAAGCGCTGTGGCTAGAACCAGAACCTAGAACAGGGTTGGAAGCTATATAAGGGCAATGATTTTGACATTCTTATTGATTGGGAAAGAGGCCTAAATATCTTCCTAAAAACATAGTTTTCACTTATATAACTAGGCTAGTCTTAAACATTATTTTTCAACAATTGTTAAGTTTCCATTATTTATAACGCTTATATTCTTTTCATTGCAAAACTATATCGTTCCAATTTCATAGAAACACAGCCTAACAGAAAAATTATATGCTCAAGAAAATTGCGCTTAATTTTTACAATTTTTTCTTTGAATAAATATATATTTATATGTAGACTATAGCCAATGCCATTTTTATTTTTTAAAGATCTTTTCAAAGACGACATTTTAAAAAGGCTGCTTCTGATGAAAATTTTGACATTTTTCCGTTACATGATGCCTCCCATTTAAACATAATTAATGTAAATGAACCAACAGGTCAAAATTAAATAGAATAATGAGCATGAGTCACGTAAATCTGCCACTTTAGTAAAAGTAAATTCAACCAATATAAACAGGGGGCGGGCATAACTCTCCTAATATTGCCTGGCTAGGTTTATACTGTACAGTGAAATTTGTTACAAAAATCATATGGACTTGTTTTCTATGCTTTTACTTTCAAACAATAACTTTCAAAACTGATCTACGAATTATGATCCCCCCAGGTAGAATTTCTGATCGGGTCATTGTGTACAGTGGTTGTACAACAAGAAGTCTAAAATTCCAGATGCCCCCTCTATTACTAATATCTCGATGAATATAAAGCATGAAGTCTGACCGCGTCAACATTGGTCCTTGTTGCACCGGCTAGTCCTGTTCATAGAGCTAGGTACAGTATCCAAAGTGAGACCGGAAAGGTTGACCCGGCTTGGAAATTCAAATGTACTACGGCTACCCGTTAAGTTTACTTTATTTAGAAAATATTTCTAAGGTCTAATTATCTCTTATCTCGGTATCTGTCTATATTTATAGACAATTGTAAATGAACCAACAGGTCAAAATTAAATAGAATAATGAGCATGAGTTTACTTTATTTAGAAAATATTTCTAAGGTCTAATTATCCCTAATCTCATTATCTGTCTATATTTATAGACAATTGTAATATGTCTATCGATCATCGGTATGCACCTGCAATCATGATCCGCACTTTGTTGATCCACAAATAATCTTTATTAAAGAATTTGATCCGCGGCTTAAATTTAAGCCGCGGCTCAACTTTGGTTGGTTTCACTTAAACCGGGGTTTCGCTTATTTACGCCACGACTTAATTCTTTAAATTCGGCCTCTGTCTAATTAGTAATTATAGACAATTTGTCAATCGATGGATGGATTAGACGAAATCAAAGAGGAAAAGACGAATAATACAGGGTTACCCTCAACGGATAAGACTTGAGAGGCGGCTGTATAGAATTTATACTGTCTATTCCTTATATTTGTTTACTCCTTCTTCTTGGGTTTACAGTTCACGGCAGGTACAGGGCGTCCCACAAAACATAACAGTTGAATGTCGTCTTCCATACACTGTACTAGATCTTAAAGACTGTTTGCAGTTTATTTTACTTAAAAAATCTTTTGCTCAAATATATTTTACTTTGAAGTTAATTTTACGATAATATGACTCCTATATAATATTTTTATTATTGTTTTTGGTATTAAACCACTTAACAAATTATGGAAGAAGACATTCTAAAATATTTACCAACTGTCATGTTTCGTGGGACACCCTGTAGCTTCTTTCTTTGGCAAATCAAGGTTTGGCATTTTTAGCAGAAGATCAAATTTATCCTTAGGATTGCCATATTTTAAGGGTTTTATATCGTCGTTAAAGTCTCATCATTTGTGTACGATAGACAATATATAAATGGATATATGACTAATCATAACTGGACACGGGCATTTGAATTTCCGAGCCGAGTCAACCTTTCCGATCCCAGTTTGTACTGTATCACCCGGACATTGTGTCTATTAAGCAGACACTCAACAGGACTAGCCGGTGCAACAAGGTTGACGTGGTCAGACTCTATATTTAATTTTTACTAAAGTGGATGGACAACAACTTTTGATAAAAAATGTGAATGGACAGGAAAAATATATTTAAAAATTGACAAATAACAGATGGTTTGACAAATCATAATTGAATAGACAGACGACTTGACAGAACTGTTGTTAACTGTATCACATGTAAGAAACTATACAGGGTTTCCCAATAAACATGGGAATTCAGTACAATACAGGACAGACAACAAGATCTTAGATGAAAGAGTGAGAGAAAATATACAACATATATCAGCCTACAGGAGAACATTTTAACCTTCCTGGACATTTATCCATCTAAAAGTTAGCACCGTACTATACAGAAGGTTTGGGACCTTGCAAGAAAATTACTTGTAGTACGAGAATCTAAATACATCAGAAATCTTACGACTTAACTCAGGGGAATAAGCAGAAAAAAAGTTTTTAATTTAACTTTAAACTGTAGTTCAAAACGTTTTCAATTTAAAATCAATCACGTTTTGTCCAGAATTTAACACTCAGAATAAGTATGTAAGTATGTAGAGTTCGTTATAGGTCATTAGAAGGCCAAACACTGGATTTGTTGCTGCTGCTGTATTCCTGGGGTTCCTAGCTTTAGTTTGATATGCATAAAGTCATAGTTAAAACATTTTCATTTTCGGAGGTCATTTAGGTCATTAGAGGTCGTAAGAGGTCATTAGAAGACCAAACACTGGATTTGTTGCTGCTGCTGTATTCCTGGGGTTCCTAGCTTTCGTTTGATATGCATAAAGTCATAGTTAAAACATTTTCATTTTCGGAGGTCATTTAGGTCATTAGAGGTCGTAAGAGGTCATTAGAAGATCAAACACTGGATTTGTTGCTGCTTTTGTATTCCTGGGGTTCCTAGCTTTCGTTTGATATGCATAAATCCATAGTTAAAACATTTTCATTTTTGGAGGTCATTTAGGTCATTAGAGGTCGTAAGAGGTCATTAGAAGGTCAAACATTGAATTTGTTGCTGCTACTGTATTCCCTGGGTTCCTAGCTTTCGTTTGATATGCATAAAGCCATAGTTGAAATATTTTCTATTTGTGGAGGTCATTAGAGGTTTCGATCATTAGAGATTTCGATCACTAATTAGGCGTGCACCCAAAAAATTTGAAGATTTGAACCAAAAATGAAGGCAGGCCCCCCCCCCCTACATCAAATGTGCCAACTCCACCATCCCCTTTTAAAATTTAAAAAATAAATATGTAAATCCAACATTCAATAAAAAAAGTTTAGTTTGAAAAAGGACGTTTTCTAACAAGTCAAAATTGCAAGACAAAACCAATTTTTTTTGTGTCGAGAAATTTAAATAAGTCACTAACTTTTCAAATTGTAAAGATATGGATATTCAAATCAAGTTCAAAAATATCCCATTTTTTAAACATCAAATTGAACAATTTCGAAAAGAACGAAAAACTAAAAATTTAATTGTATTTTAGGACCATCTCTGGGTACCCAATCCTATACTGATTTTTATCCGTATGTGTGTTATTTTGAATATCGATTTCGCAATATAGTAAATGAAAAAAACCGTAAGAAATGAAAAAAAGAATAAGAAATGAAAAAAATAAATGAAAAAATAAAAGAAATGAAAAAAGAATAATAAATGAAAAAAAGAAAAATAAATGAAAAAATAATAATAGAATAAAAAATATAATAAAATGGAAAAATATAGTAAAAATTCTATAGTAAACTAATTAGATGTTTAGGAAAATATTTCTCAAAAGAAATTTGTCAATAATTATATATTGAATTTCTTATTTTCTATGAATTTATTCGCAGATTTCTTCAAATTCTACAAATGTCATCTTTTTAATTGAAATTCCAGAAAATCTGCAGAGAATCTGTGATCAAAGTGAGATTATCAACCTGTTCCTAAACAAATAATTAGTTTACTGTAGAATTTAATTTACATTTTTTGTCGTCGTTATTTGATAATAAAATAAAAACAATTTTGAAAACGTATTCACCCAAAAGTACGACTTTGAACGTCGTTTTATGTGTCTCAAATGAATCCTAAAGAATTTCTCCACAACACTGCATTACTCAGTTTAACTACCTCATATAGCCGGTCTGTCCCTTTTAATAAATCACAAAGAAACAAACAAACAAATCACAAACAAACAGATCACAAACTCTTGACAGACAAACAGATCAAAAACAAACAGACAAACAAATCACAGACACACAGTACACAAACATACATACGTATTACAAGCAAACAGACAAACAGATCACAAACAAGCAGACAAGCAGATCACAAGCAAACAGCAAACAGGCAAACATATCACAAACAAAAGTAAAACAGATCACAGACAGACAGAAAACAGATCACAGACAAACAGAAAACAGATCACAGACAAACATAAAACAAAACACAAACAAACAGAAAACAGCTCACAGACAAGCAGAAAACAGATCACAGACAAACAGAAAACAGATCATAGACAAGTAGAAAACAGATCATAGACAAATAGAAAACAGATCACAGACAAACATAAAACAAAACCCAGACAAGCAGAAAACAGATCACAAGCAAACAGACAAACAGATCACAAAAAACAGATCACAAACAAATAGACAAACAGATTACAAAAAATCAGATCACAGACAAACAGATCACAGATCACAGACAAACAGAAAACAGATCACAAACAAACAGATCACAGACAAACAGAAAACAGATCAGAAACAAACAGAAAAACAGGTCACAGACAAACAGAAAACAGATCCCAGACAAACATAAAACAGATCACAAACAAACAGAAAAACTGCTCACAAAAAAAACGGAAAACAGAGCACAGACAAACAGAAAACAGACCACAGATAAACAGACAAACGGATCACAAACAAACAGAAAACAGATCACAGACAAACAGACAAACAGATCACAGACAAGCATAAAACAGATCACAAACAAAAAGACAAACAGATCACAAATAAACAGAAAACAGATCACAGACACACAGAAAACAGATCACAAACAAATAGAAAAACATCTCAAAGACAAACAGAGAATAGATCACAGACAAAAAGAGAAAAGATCACAGACAAACAGTAAACAGATCACAGACATACAGTAAACAGATCACAAGCAAACAGAAAAATAGCCCACATGCAAACAGTAAACAGCTCACAGACAAACAGAAAAACAGCTCACGAGACAAACACTAAACAGCTCACTGACAAACAGAAAACCTAGTATTTGTATTTTTATCATAAATGTCTTTTTTAAGTTTTGTTTTTAACCACCCTGAACTAACCTGCAGGGTGATATACCACCCTGAACTAACCTGCAGGGTGATATAATACTCTGAACTAACCTGCAGGGTGATATACCACCCTGAACTAACCTTCAGGGTGATATACCACCCTGAACTAACCTACATGGTGATATACCACCCTGAACTAACCTGCAGGGTGATATACCACCCTGAACCAACCTGCAGGGTGATATACCTTAGGTTTCTTAATTTTTGGGGCTTTAATTCAACCATCTTAAACCTACGGAGAATTGTCGCAATACACTTTTCCAGAGAAAAGAAAAGAAATGAGAAAAAGCAAAAAAAAATTGTTTACTATTATAGCCTGCCAAATTGTGATCGAATTAATAATAACAAAGAAATGATATGCCATTTTAATATTTACGCAGTTTTTATTTGTAGTAAATGGTCAGATTTAATATTTATTTATTATAATTTTATTTTCAAATATCTTTTAATCTAAAATTTTCCAAGGTCATAGCAATTACAGGAAACACGGGTTTCTTAAAAATAAAAAACTTCTAACCTATTCCCTAAAAATAATAATAAATATTGTAAAAATCAAGGGTGGGTTTGGGTGAAAGTATATTTGTGGGGTTCTTTGTGCATTAGAAATATAGCCTGGATGTGTAGAGTGTAGAATCTTTGTGTTTCATTCTCAACTTTACACACCAAAAAATACTAGAAACATTCTTTTTATTGAAAATATGTTTTTATGAAAAAGATTAATAAAAACCTTAATTTTATTATTGTGTTCTTATATTTAACTTAATGAAAAAAGAATTTGAAATAAATCTAGAATTTCTCCGGATATCATTCTGTTTAAACATGGTTTTATCGGAAAATCTCAGATTTTCACCAAAATCAATAATGCATTAAAATATTTTTTTTACAAGTACAAAAAGCTGAGATCTTTTAGAACATTTTGGCTAATTTAGATTTGCAGAAATATATCTTCTTTGGTTTGTATTTCGCATAGAAAGTCAGGATGAAAACACAAATTCATACAACTAAGCCTAGTAAAACTTTCGGAGCGGGATGGGAGAACCGCTCTCTATTCGGTTCTCTCCACACATACATAGCTTCTGTCAGTTCTCTATCCGATATCTGTTATTACCAGAACCTACTACAACAAACATGTCTGCTGCTGCCGCTGCCCCCGCTGTCGCCCCCAAGGCCCCTAAGGTGAAGAAGGCCACCAAGCCCAAGGTTGCCGCCGCCCACCCTCCCTACGCCAACATGGTCGCTGCTGCCATCAAGGCCCTGAAGGAGAGGAACGGATCCAGCCGTCAGGCCATCCTTAAGTACATCGTCGCCAACAACAAGGTTGGAGATGCTGCCAAGGCCCAGGTCCGTGTCAAGCTTGCCCTCAAGAAGATGGTTGCCGCCAAGAAGGTTGTTGCTGGAGGAGCTGCTGGAAAGAAGGGAGCTGGTTGCTTCAAGCTCCCAGTTGCTGCCAAGGCTGAGAAGAAGCCCAAGGCCGCCAAAAAGCCCGCAGCCAATGCCAAGAAGCCCGCAGCCAAGAAGCCTGCTGCCAAGAAGCCCGCAGCTAAGAAGCCTGCTGCTAAGAAGGCTGCCCCCAAGAAGTAAATTAATCCTTACTTCGCCCCTCATCATCATCATACTCATTTATAAATTTTCATCCTCATAGTCATGTCTAAGATTTTATATTTCTATGTACCTGAATTAACTTATATATATATAAATAAATGTGAAGTCTTTCATAAATTAAACTTTTTAAAGTAAGAGAGAGAGAAAGAGAAAGATGCAAATGTTACAGAGCGTCCCATATCATATTAGATTATCTCCAATCTTTAACGCCAGAATACGGACATAATACTCGAAAAATCTAGCATTTACTGCAAAAAAATTCTATTAGCCTTATTCAATTTTTCAAAATGATTAATTCTTTTTAGATTTTCTGATTTGTCCACCAAATCGTAATTTAGACCCATTGACTCGGTCTAATTTGATGTGTAGAACATTCTGCAATGTGATAAACGTTGACATTCTTTGCAAGGTTTACTACATTTTCACCCGGGGGGGGGGGGGAGAAGGAAGAGGTACAAAGAGTAAACCCGCGTAAACAATAGGAGAGGTTGTTCGAGGCCGGGTAGGGATTAATACAAAAGTTCTGAGATGTCCATTAAGTTTAGATATATAAAAATGTAAAAAAAATCAGCTTTCTCATCTACACGAGTAATAACACCCAGGGAGGTAAAGAAAGTATATTCACTAAACATAAAACCGGGTTTAAGGCTTTCTCATTCCATAGTTACCATTTACTATACAAACCATGCTGCATAGTTTATTTAGTCTTCTCTAACAAGAAAACAGTTTTTTTGGGGTGAATATTGTTTATTTCGATATCCAATGAAGATACTTTAAAATTTGTGGTTAAATGCTTGCTCTTTCAATTCAAGTTATCCCTGCAGAGCATGACCACGAAGGGATATCTCTGCAGAGTATGACAACGAAGGGATATCCCTGCAAAGTATGGCCACGACGAGATATCCCTGCAGAGTATGACCACGAAGGGATATCCCTGCAAAGTATGACCACGACGAGATATCCCTGCAGAGTATGACCACGAAGGGATATCCCTGCAAAGTATGACCACCACGGGATAACACAAAAGTTCTGACTTTAAAATCTATTGATGACTTTGTATGTGTGAGTTTATTTATAAAAAGACTTGTCAAAAATAACTGAGTTTTTGTCACAAACTCTACTTTTCTAATCTCTATATCTTTACTACCCAATCTCGTAGACCTTTTATATTTCAAACTATGAATTCTGATAGATCCAATAATCTAAGTTGAAATATCAAAGGTTTACATAATCAGATTGTAAAGATATAGGGATTAGACTATTTGAGTTTGTGACAAAAACTCAGTTCCTTCATTTAAAACCTACTCTCCGTAAATTTAATATTCAAATAAGTAAGTAGACCTGCATTGATGTTGAAAAGGATGACAAAAATACCATAAAAACCTACTGATTAATAAACCTTGTAAGATATATTTATTATCAATCAAAAACTCCTGTTTTGTTTTAAGTATCCCAAGTTTTAATTCTCAATGTTAAATAAAGAGAAATTATAGCAGTGTACCCATAAACTCATTGTCTCAGTAAAAATAAAATGATATATTTGTCTGAAACTAGATAATTTTGAAATTGGGGGTTCTATTTGAGAGGATTTGCAAAGGAGTCGAGTCTTTGCCACAATTTCAAGTTTTCTCCATTTCTATATATCTTTGCAACCACATGGCGTAAACCTTTGATATCTCAAACATGGATTAATTATTTGATCTAACAGAATTAATGGTTTGAAAGGTCTACGACATTGGATTGAAAAGATATATAGGGATTAGAAAATTAGAGTTGGTGGCAAAGACTCAATTCCTTTATGCACCAAAGAGGAAATTGTCAGATTAAGGATTAAAGGTTTAAACAGTTTGGTATCCTGACAACGCAATTCTTTAACCATGAAGGAACACGTGCAATTACGTCATAAGTCCCTTTAAAGGCAGTGTGAAACTATTCTAAATCTTCTCATTAATGTTAAACTATGTATCTTTTATCTTTGTACCATCTCTATTTGTTACAGGACACCCCAATAGTTCTTTTAGATTACGATCATTGAAAAATCCTAATGATCACACGATCGTCATAAATTATTTTTCATTTTGTATTTTTGAGAAATCTTAAATGATATTTTAATGAGAACTAAACTAAACTTTATTTTACATTTACTTTTATTGACCTATAGATGATTAGATCTCTATAGAAAATAAACCGCTTATTCGTAGCTAGACTGAAATATTTTTTCTCCAGAGGAACCAAAACTCAAATTTTCAAATCCCTATTTCTTTGCAACCTGAAGGTGTAATCTTTTGTTATTTTAAACTTAAGATTATTTAATCTAACAGAATTCAAAATTTGAAATATCAGAGTCTATGACGTGACATTGGATTTCAAAGATATTAAAATTTAAAAATCAGAGTTTGTGGCAAAGATTTATATATAATTCCTTTCCATGAAGGGGGGATCAGCACACATAGCTCCCGCTGTTTACCACGTTATGGACATTTTACAGATTTATTTGACATTTTACAGATTTATTTGACATTTTACAGATTTAATTGACATTTTACAGATTTATTTGACATTTTATGATAGACTTACTTGAGTGCTCGGCGTTGCCCAGACTATTCATATTTAAAGTTACTCCCACGCTGTTTACCCTTGATTGGTATCAAATCATGATAATCATTGGAATTTGAAAAATTTTAAACTTTTTAAGCTTTTCAATCAAAATATTTTGCCGCAAAGCGCATTTTTAAATGCTTCGATCCGACATTTCATAATTAAAAGATTTCAAAAACAGAATTTTATTCAATAAAAATATCTGCAAACTTAAGTTTTCTTTACTTTTTAGAAAATTATTATATCTCCAGATACTAATTTTTAGACTTTTAAGATGTATAGTGGAGTAGGACTCCAAGATCAGTCTGGGGGACTCCCAGACTCAGATATCCTACTCCCTGGTAGACTCGGAGAAGTAGAACTATCTGGAGTCCTAAACCTGCTGGAGAAGGATCAAGAATTGCAAGATCTACTTTGTGATGTTCAGGTTTACAAATATACAATTTATATCCAGCTTCAAACAGATTCGTAACAGTGAAGCGGCGTGAAAAAAAATGGTTTAAATTTTTTTCATAAAAAATTCATATTATTTATTTGTTTTAAATGGTAATTATCTTCCAAAAGCGCTAAATTGTTTACGTTTTAGTCGTAAAATACAAGCAAGCATTGTCGATTTAAAATATTAAATAAAGGCAGCAAGCAAACAGATTTTTACTACAAAATTTTGTTTAACCAATTGTTTTTATTCACGTATTAAATTATTCAAAAAAAATTAAAGGATTTATTTTAGGAAAGAGCCGAGAACCATAGAGAGAACTATTCAAAACTTAAACTGGAACACAGCAAGCTTATACACCAGGTTGGAACACAGTAGGTTTTAATCCAGGTTGGAACAAATTAGGTTTAAACACCAGGTTGGAGCACAGTAGGTTTATACACCAGGTTGAAACACAGTAGGTTTTTACACCAGGTTGGAACACAGTAGGTTTATACTCCAGGTTGGAACACAGTAGGTTTATACTCCAGGTTGGAACACAGTAGGTTTATACACCAGGTTGGAACACAGTAGGTTTATACACCAGGTTGAAACACAGTAGGTTTTTACACTAGGTTGGAACACAGTAGGTTTATACTCCAGGTTGGAACACAGTAGGTTTATACTCCAGGTTGGAGCACAATAGGTTTATACACCAGGTTGGAACACAGTAGGTTTTTACACCAGGTTGGAACACAGTAGGTTTAACATCAGGTTGGAACACAGTAGGTTTATACACCAGGTTGGAACACAGCAAGCTTATACACCAGATTGGAACACAGTAGGTTTAAACACCAGGTTGGAACACAGTAGACTTATACACCAGATTGGAACACAGTAGGTTTATATAACAGGTTGGAGCACAGTAGATTTATACACCAGGTTGGAACACAGTAGACTTATACAACAGGTTGAAACACAAAAGGTTTAGAGAACTTAACAACGACAGAACTAGAGAATGAGACCAAGTTGGAACACATTGTATACACCAAGTTGGAACACATGGTAGGGTTATACACCAGGTTGGAACACAGTAGGTTTAAACACCAGGTTGAAATATAGTAGGTTTATATAGTATTCCACTAGAGAACTAGAAAAGTAGAGAACTAGAGAACTAGAGAACTAGAAAACTAGAGAATTAGAGAACTAGAAAACTAAAGAGCTAGAGAACTAGAGAACTAGAAAACTAGAGAACTAGAGAACTAGAGAACTAGAGAATTAGAGAACTAGAGAACTAGAAAACTAGAGAGTTAGAGAACTAGAGAACTAAATAACTAGAGATCAAAATAACTAGAGAACTTAACAACATCAGAACTAGAGAATGAGAGAACTAGAGAACTAGAGAACTAGAGAACTCAAGAACTGAAGAACTAGAGAACTAGAGAACTAGAGAACTAGAGAACTAGAGAACTAGAAAACTAGAGAATTAGAGAACTAGAAAACTTAAGGACTAGAGAACTAGAGAACTAAAGAGCTAGAGAACTAGAGAACTAAATAACTAGAGAACAAAATAACTAGAGAACTTAACAACGACATAACTAGAGAATGAGACAACTAGAGAACTAGAGAACTAGAGAACTAGAGAACTAGAGAACTAGAGAACTAGAGAACTAGAGAACTAGAGATTGAGAACTAGAGATTGAGAACTAGAAAACTAGAGAACTAGAGAATGAGAGAACTAGACAACTAGAGAACTAGAGAACTGGAAAACTGGAGAACTTGAGAACTCGAGAACTAGAGAACTAGAGAACTAGAGAACTAGAGAACTAGAGAACTAGAGAACTAGAGAACTAGAGAACTAGAGAACTAGAGAACTAAAGAACTAGAGAACTAAAGAACTAGAGAACTAGAGAACTAGAGACTAGAGAACTAAAGAACTAGAGAACTAGAGAACTAGAGAACTAGAGAACTAGAGAACTAGAGAACTAGAGAACTAAAGAACTAGAGAACTAGAGAACTAGAGAACTAGAGAACTAAAGAGCTAAAGAATTATAATTACCCATAATTACATTTTTTACTTCAATCTAAAATCTAGGTTAAAGTTTTGGAATCAGAGTTAGGATCAGTTCAGGAGGAGAATATAGAACTCAGAGATCAGATCAGGTATAAGGGGGGGGGGGAGCTTATTGCTCAGGGGGTATAAAGGTTAGTGGAGAGGTTCAGGATATTGATCATTGGATACTAAGACCTTGTTTGGTAGATAAAAACAGATGATTTTCCCGCCCATTTTTTGGCGGGGAATTTCAAAACTCTAACCCTCACAGGGGGCGTCGTAGCGTAAGAGGGGGGGCGGGGAGTGGGGAGGCGGAAGCGGGGAGGGGAGGATGTGGGGACAGGTGCTGCATATTGTTTTGAATTTTTGATCTTTTATGTATAGAGCATGAGCGCCAATTATTTGGACACACATCTTATACATCTCTAGACCCAATTAAAATGAAAATATAATGTAATTAATTTGATTTCCACATTATTAATCTACTGTATAAAAACTAGGATTAACGGAAAGATGATGTGTAAAATTATAGCGCGCCTGGACAAATTCAAGTTCACTTTACGGACTTATCAAATGCTCTTAAAAAAAAAAAAAAACTATGTTAGTCTTTTAGGGAATCATATGTTTTTTTTGGTATTGGTTTTTAATGATAAAGTTTTTGTTTTACTTATAAGAGGTTCTATAATCCATATTTATAAGATTTTAGCACAAAAGGACAAGAAAAAAACATATTGTTTAAATCGTTTTAATAAACTGTTTTGTCCAATAAAATTTTCAAAAATTCAAACAGGCAATAGAGAACACATATCTTAGATTCTTATAGGTCAACAAACCTGTCCAATTTTAAAACAAAGCAGGATTTAAATATAATATTCTTAATTTAGATACCTATTTGTTTATCAGGGTGGTATCGGAGAAAGCAGCTCAAGAAACTACGGAACTCAGAACTCAAATCATTCTTTTCAAAGAGCAGGTTCGTTTTTTCTTCTTCAGGGGTAGTTTCTAGGGTCAGTAGACTTATACACCAGATTGGAACACAGTAGGTNAAATCATTCTTTTCAAAGAGCAGGTTCGTTTTTTCTTCTTCAGGGGTCGGTTCAAGGGTTTGTTTCTAGGGTTCGTTTCTAGGGTTCGTTTCTAGGGTTTCTTTCTAGGGTTCGTTTCTAGGGTTCGTTTCTAGGGTTTGTTTCTAGGGTTCGTTTCTAGGGTTCGTTTCTAGGGGTTGTTTCTAGGGTTTGTGTTCATGGTTTGTTTTCATTGTTTGTGTTCATAATTTGTGTTCATGGTTTGTGTTCATAGTTTGTGTTCATGGTTTGTTTTCAGGGCTTGTGTTCATGGTTTGTTTTCAGGGTTTGTGTTCATGGTTTGTTTTCAGGGCTTGTGTTCATGGTTTGTTTTCATGGTTTGTTTTCATGGTTTGTGTTGATGGTTTGTGTTGATGGTTTGTTTTCATGGTTTGTTTTCATGGTTTGTGTTCATGGTTTGTGTTCATGGTTTATGTTCATGGTTTGTTTTCAGGGTTCGTTTTCATGGTTTGTGTTCATGGTTTGTTTTCAGGGCTTGTTTTCATGGTTTGTTTTCATGGTTTGTGTTTATGGTTTGTTTTCATGGTTTGTTCTCAGGGTTTGTGTTCATGGTTTGTTTTTCATGGTTTGTTTTCATGGTTTGTGTTCAGGGTTTGTTTTCATGGTTTGTGTTCATGGTTTGTTGTCAGGGTTTGTTTTCCCGACTTATTTCCATGAAATTTTGAATATCAATACAGCAGCACTGCTGGCATGAAACGTCATTGTTTAATTTTACGTGAAGTTTACATGGATTTAATTCTAGATAATTTAAACTTTATGGTTTTACTTTAGGGTCCTTCTGGTGTAGGGATAAAGACAGCATGGACGGAGCGAATTAAAGAAGAAGTGGAAACATCCTGGAGGGAGAGATGGAAATCAGTTACAGGTTAATCTTCTTCTTCTTCTTCTTCTTCTCCTTCTTTTCCTTCTTTTTTTTCTTCTTCTTCTTCTTCTTCTTCTTCTTCTTCTTCTTCTTTTTCTTCTTCTTCTTCTTCTTCTTCTTCTTCTTCTTCTTCTTCTTCTTCTTCTTCTTCTTTTACTGATCGAAATGACTATTATTATTATTACGCACATGTAGAGAATATATATCCATTTTCAAAATAACAATTTTCTGTTCCAGAGCACGCCCTTACGGCGACAATACAACAAAATAGCGTTTTTAGACTTTTTGTAGTAAATAGCAATCATATCTCCTCTACTCAGCAGGTTTACAACTTATATGAATGCAAATATATCGTTATACTAAGAGTTAAACATAAAAATGATCACAGTTGATAAATTTTGATCAAAAATAAATTATATATTTTGATGTTCAGAAGATCTGGAGAACCAAGAATCTAGAATAAATGAACTAATTCAAGAAAACTCTCATCTGAAGCATTCATATCAGGTTAAACTAATACTTTTGATAATATATGTCTGATGTATATTTAAAATGGCGGATGCAGGATTAATCACTAAGGATGAGACTAATGACGATGAACATGGACGAAACTAGTTTTTTTAAATCTTGGTTCTAAACAGACTTAAACTTGCCTCATTCTTTTTATATTTTGAAGATCAATCAAAGTCCAAGGGTACTTTCAAGAAATTATACCACATTCTTTAAATTGTTCAGAGATAAAAAGATTTTAAGATCGTCAAAGTAAGTTTCATCCTTGGTTGAGAACCTTATATCTAAATTTGGCTTGTCTTTCTGTTTGTATCCAATAAACGGCTAAACCAACACGGCCAACATTTTTTGTGGCAACTCACAAACCCGTTTGAAGGTTTATGGCTGGTGGGGATTTAAAAAAATGTTGACTGAAAAAAATATCTTTTTTAAATTCTATAAATTTAATCTTTATAGATATTTTGTCTGTTCTTGATTCATTAAATAAAGTTTGAAAAATTGAACACCCTGTAGATTCTTTAGTCAAATGTTTTTTTTACACTACACCCTGTATTTTAGGTTGGTTTAGCAGAAGTTGACAGTTCTATGAAAGAACTTGTATTTTCTTTAGAAACCAAACTAGCATCACTAGAGAAAGAGAAAAAACAATTAAGTAAGTATTAGTATACAATACTCTCCACTAAATACCATTATTTATTCGATCAGTTAAATGCAAATCAGGGGACAGAAAGCTTAGTTTAGGGTGGCACGTAGCGGCGAAACTATAGGGATTGTCTTGTATATTGTCTTCATAATTCACGACCACAGTTCTCTGGGTTAAACTCTATCACACAGGGTGTCCCATAAAAAGGGGAATTGAAAGACGACTTGAATATCGTCTTTGATTTCTGAAAATTGATAATTGACATAAAGTGCATCAAAAAAGGATTGAACGTCTAATGTGTTCTACTTTCTTTGTACAATTGGGAACTCTATAACTTTCTCGCCTTAAAACCGAGTATTAGGGAGTAATTCTCGGTTTCTATAAGGCAGAAACCCAGCATTAGAGGTATTGGTCGGTTATTACGACCATTTCGATGAAGAGTCTCAATATTTTATTGGAGACCCCCAGATTATCATTGGAGACCCAAATAAATTCATTGGAGACCACAGATTTTCTTGGAGACCGACATATTTTCTTTGGAGGTCTCCAATGAAAGTCTTGGGGATCTCCAATGAAAATCTGGGGGTCTCCATCGAAAATCTGGGGTCTCCAATTATAATTTTGGAGTCTCCAACGAACATCAGGGGTTTCCAACGAACAGAAAGGGTTTCCAACGAACATATGGGGCCCAGCAAAATCAGGGGGTCTCTAACGAAAATTTAGTGGTCTCCAAAGAAAATCTGTGGGTCTCAAAGAAAGTCTGGGGTCTCCAATGAGTTTATTTGAGTCTCCTTTGAAAATCTAGGGGTCGGCACGAAAATCTGGGGTTTCAANGGGTCTCCAATGATGATCTGGAGGTCTCCAATGAAAAGTTGGGGCTCTCCTACGAAATGGTCATAATGGCCGACCTTTACCCATAATGCTCGGTTTCTATAAGGCATAAAACGAGCATTAGGCCTAATGCTCGGTTACTAAAGCCGAGCATCACCCCCTAATGCTCTGTTTCTATAAGGCAGAAACCGAGCATTACCCCTAATGCTCTATAAGGCAGAAACTGAGCATTACTCCCTAATTCTCTGTTTCTATAAGGCAGAAACCGAGCATTACCCCTAATGCTCTGTTTCTATAAGGCAGACACCGAGCATTACCATGCATTACTATTCTTACATTTCTTTCTTGGTCACATTTACAATTGTTTCTCTCTTCCTTTCTTTCACGGAATGTGTAGCTTAAATTTTTGCAGCAATGTCGTCTTTTATTTGTCGTCTTTTTTCCCCTAGTTTTCTTATATATAATAATGTCGTCTTTCAAGTTCCCATTCTTTTAACCGTTTGCTTTGTGTAAAGGATTCAAGTCTTTGACACAAACTTTGACTTTCTAATCATTACATCTGATGCAACCAAATATCATATGACCTTAGATATTTCAAACTATAAATTCTGATTGATCAAATAATCTAAGTTTGAAATAGGGAATAGAAAATTCGAGTTTGTGGCAAATACCCAATTTCTTCATCTCTTGAATAATTAGATTTTAAGGCGACTTTATTGCTTAGGCTAGTACGAAAAAAAACACCACTTTTTAACATTTTATCAGACATAATTCATATTTTGCAATCGCATTTCTAATATTTATAATCAATACCAAATAGATTATCAAGTACAATAGGTGGCAACGGAGAAATGGACCAATTATACACGACGTCACAAATGTAAAATTTTACGTTGCCATCTATTGAACTAGAATCTATTTGATCAATACTTGTAGTCCGAGTGCCACTAAAACTGGAGGAAGAGAAAGAGGAACTTGAGAAACGTATTCATGATTTAAACAAACAAAACAGGTGCAAGAAATAATACTTGATAATTTTATGTAGTTTCGTTTATATCAATACAATGAGGACGACTTTTCCATTCAAGTTTTGATTCCTATCAAGCTTTTTTCGAATAAGAAATTTCCAAGTAAACAAAAAAAACTGTTAATTGACAGCTTATTTTTTTCCATGTTAATGTGGAGGCAAGTGCTCTTTTAAAGATTGGTGTAATTCAAATATTAAATTCGAAAGTCGTCTTCATTGTATTGATATATATATATATATGACGACGACTGTATATAATTCAATCTTTTGCATGCGACAAAATAATATTACAAAAAATACAAATCATGAAGCTTATAATTAAAAAATTCGTTTCTAAATGTTGAACCAAGAAAGTGTGAGAATTAAAGACGACTGTACGTAATTTTTTTTTTTTCTTTAATTTCTCGAACACTTTTTCTATCTTTGCCAGATCCCTTAATACAACTTAAAAACTAAATCAAGCAGAAAAGTCCAAACACAACCTTTGGATTCAGGTCATTACTTATCATTAGATGATATAATAATATTCATATTTAGAACTATGCTTGGAAGTATTGAGCACCTTGAGTCAGAATTACAAAAATCGATCAGCCAACTCAGGTATTTGCGCAGTGTAGACCCATATAACTTATAAGGTTTACTTTCAAGCTAATAGTAAAAAGTACATTGTTTAAAACAACATCAAATAAAGAATTTATTTAATGTAGTTTTCTTATTCCCAACTGTTTTAAAGATAAAAACGGACAAAAATATGAATTATTGATTAACTTTAAATTAAAGAAATTGAGAATATAACAGTAATACTAGAAGAAATAATTGAAAATTAACGAAAATGATTGAAACTTAAGGAAATAATTGAAAAATAGATAAATGATTGCAACTAAAGAAAATAATTGAAAATGGTGAATATAACAAAAAACTTGAAGAAAAGATTAGAAACTAGAGGAGAGGACTGAAAACTTAGCAGAAATTTCAAATAATGCTGCAGTAGATGAAAACGACTTTCTTTTTTAATTTCTATACAGGGACACCCAAAAAGGATGAGATTGTAAAGACGACTTGAAACTCTTAAAATATGATATTTCCAAGGTTAATTTATGTCTTCTGTCTGGACTATTGTCCTTAAATGGCTTAATTAACGATTTTGCAAAGAAGAAAAACAGACTGTTTAGATTCCGCACAGTCGTCTCTGAAGTCTCATCCTTTGTGGGTACTGTGTAACCCTATATCTCCCAATCTTTCAATTACAGCAGATACACCGAAACATGTAAAGAAAGAGAATAAGTCGATTAACAGTTTCTGTTTGTTTACTTGTAAACTTTTAATTTGAAAAATGCTTGTTAGGGAACAAAGTATTATCAATAAAAATCGACTTCATTGTATTAATATAATCGCCAACCCGTCAAGAAATTTCCGAGAAATGTCAAAAAAGTTTTAAAAGGACATTAAGTGTCACATTCTATTGTATCTTCAATGTGTTCTTTTAACTTACTAATCCTATTAACAGTTCCATAAACAAATCACAACAGTTCTCTATGAACTTGTGACCAAAAGTCCAAATATAACTTTAGAATTTAAAAACTCTGTATCTAGTTTGAATGAGTCCGCAGCCCTCAAATCTGAAGGAGTCCTGAAATCTAAGCTGGTCAAACTGCAATCAGAAAAGGACAGCTTAGAGGGTCAACTTAGGTAGAAAAAATAGATTTTGTTTAATTTTGTATTTTTAAACAGGGGTATCCAAAAAAGAATAAGACGACTCTACGGAATTGATTTAATCTTTTTCTTGCATAAATGATTCCATGCTTCTGTTAACTAATTTATTTTTTGGGGGTCAAATCATTTAGTTTTCCCGTAAGAAAAAAATATTCAAGGACCATGGACCTAATTCGATCTTCAGATAATCATGTTATAATCAGCTGATTTGAAAAGACGATATCTAAATTCCGATTTTCAAAAATTAGGAATGAAATGAAAAATATATTTGAATTTTATATGTTTGTATAATTTCCATATAATTCCAAAATGCATTGAATTAAAACCCCAGGAGCAAGTGAAAACTGAAAAAAACCCAAGTGTATTTTGATAAAAAATCAACTTTTTATCATGCTTAACAATAAATAGGAGCAGCACAGATGAAGTAGAGAGGAAGGAGCGTCGAATAGAGCAACTCGAACAGCTGTCTGCTGATCTACGCAGCAAAATGGAAGCTGCTCATCGTGCTGCTGACCAGATAAAGCAGTCATCACATCTTCAGCTGTCAGAAATGGAGATGGAGACAGCTAAACAGTTGGCATCTGTCAGGAGAGAGAAGGAAAATGCTAACAAAGTAAGATGTTCAAAAATGATGAAAGTCTGTCCATTAATACTGTGAAGTTTAAAGGGACTGTACAGTGACCCTCCATGTAAAGATGGCAATACCAGATACACAACGTTTACCTTTAGCCCTTTATCTGAACATTAATGTGGAAGATATTGTCGTTTTTTTAAGGTTAAAATTGTTTAAATTCTGATCAATCCTTAACATTTTCTGCAGAAGAAATGCGGAAGCCACTTTAAAATGATAAACATTGAAATCTATAAATTCCTACTTGAACCGACAAACTTTTTTAGGGTACCGTTGTGAATCGGGCATTGCCATCCTTACATGGAGGGTCCCTTAAACTGATGCATACAAAGCCTTTAAAGAATAATATTAATGTTTAGGAAAAAGTTGAATTGGAGTTTAAATACACTGAGTTGAAATCCCGGTACGATGATATCCACAGAGAGCACAAGGTTGAGTTGACCGGGTTGGAGCAGGGATACATTAGCTCCAGGAGGGAGATGGGACACACAGAACAAGAGTATCAAGTCAGGCTTGGAGAACTTACTGCTAAGCTTCAATCATTAGGTAACATAACATTGTGTTTGATTGATTCAACTACAGGGTTTCCCAATAAACATGGGAATTAAGAGACGACTTGAATATATTCTTTGATTTCCGATAATTGATAAATTTGCATCAAAAAAAGATTGAACATCTAATGATCTTTCCAAAATGTGGTCTACCTTCTTTGTTTCTTTAAAACTGACTGAGATATTAAACATTTGAACATTTTCAATTAATTTTGAATCTCGGCAAATTTCAAATATATATATAAATATATATTATATATATGCATCTAATATCTTCCTTTTCTTAATATTTAACCTAGAATTTACCATGAAGCAGCTGGAAAATGAAAATACACACTTGAAACGAGAAAAAGAAGACTTTCTACTAAACATAGAAGACGACATGCAAAGACTATCACGAGAAAACGCGGCACTGCGCAAGGGAAATCTCCATTTTAAAATGGACGTGGAAAACATATTAAAAGACAGAGAAGAAATAATAGAAACAGCGGAGAAAAGAGAAAATGAACTCAATACTGTGATAAAGGTTTGAAATTACAAATCATATTCATTGCCCATCTATCTATCTATCTATCTATCTATCTATCTATCTATCTATCTATCTATCAATCTATCTATCTATCTATCTATCTATTTATCTATCTATCTATCTATCTATCTATCTATCTATCTATCTATCTATCTATCTATCTATCTATCTATCTATCTATTTATCTATCTATCTATCTATCTATCTGTCTATCTATTTATCTATCTATCTATCTATCTTTCTATCTAACTATCTATCTATCTACCTACCTCCTATCATAATATTATCCATATATTTAATATTTTAATAGAAATTTGAAAAGCAGAACAGAGAAATTTTGAATCAAATTGAGGGGAAAGAAAAAAATCTCTCTGAAAAGGTAAAAAAAAAAAAAAATAAAAAAAAAACCTAGTTAATATTTCAATCCTCCTTTTTATAGATAGCTAAATACAAGAAGCTGATCCATAAGCTGAGGAATAAATTAAAACTTGCGACCGCAGAGAAGGAGGAGTCAACATTAAGAAAGGTAAAAATCAATAAATTTTTGCATTTTATGTATTTTTATGTTATTGAATGTGTTTGAAAATCTACAGGGTGAGAAAAAAAACACGGCCAATATGCGTTGTTTTACAAAGCACTAAAAAAATGTTTGAAGGGGAAATGTTTTTAAAGGAAAAATATGTTTTTGGTGTAAAAGTACAAAATTCCAATTACGCATATTTCAATTGATTTCTGAAGAAACAATAAATTGTAACAAAAAATTAGTTTCCTGGATATTTTTGCCTTTGCTTGGATTCATTAAACGACAATAAGGTTAAAACGATAGGGTCCAATTTTTTTGTGGAACCTCACATGATCCAGAGGAGGGGAGGAAGGCCAACCACATCAATCTCTAGTCCGAACCACATTCTCATCATTTTCTCGTCCGAACCACATCGAAATCCTCGTCCTTTCAATATTATCAATACTAGAGATTGATGTGGTTGGCCTTCCTCCCCTCTCCAGAGGGATGGGTGTGGTCAGAATTTAAAGATATCATTCAAGAAAACCTTTTTTTTCTCCTGCTAACCTGCTAAATTTTTGTGTTCTACGGTTTGATAACGATAAAAAGAATCTTATACTGAGTAGAAGGTAAAGCAACCGTAACAAGACGATGGGCACGAAGCGCCCTGAGAGCTAAGAATTGTATAACTAAGCCTATTGTTGCATGATATAGGAGTGTATGAGAGGATATGTCAGTCCGGAGAAATATCATCAGGTTAAATCTGAACTAAAGGAGATTAAACAGAAACAGAAACAGTTTAGTAATCTTATTCAGAACCTTCAGGTAAGCTATCAATATTAAAGGGACTGTAGGCATATTTCTAAGTAACCTTCGATTCACAACGATACCTTTTAAACCTTTGTCTGATCAAGGATGACGGAGTGTTGACGTATTTTATCCGCACTTGCTAATTTGTGAAAATGACATGTCATTTTTTTATAATGGAAACTAACTTAGAATTACGTACGTTTACAGTCGATACTTTTAGAAATATAGCGAAGGAAGCATTTGCGATAAAAAAAGTGTTGATGACAGGATCGAAATATTTTAATAACATTTTAAAAAAATGGTTTTTTAGTTTTATATTGATCAGATGTTTCTGTACAGAGAATTCAAGATTTACTTTGATTTTCAAGACGTAATATTTCTTTCTGTTTGAACAGAGGGATTTAAAAAAACATAAAGGCAACAATTTTACAGATCACATTTTTTTAATTTCGACTGCAGCCGGAAATCTTCCAGCTGAGTTTCCCCGAAAATCGTCTTTTTTGACGTTTATTGAATACAAAGAAATAAACTAACGAACCAACAAACAAGCAAAATTGTCAACCATTAACTACAAGACCCCCCCCCCTATGTCGTCTTTAACTTAAAATCCCCTCTCGGAGACACCAAACCAAATAATTTTTAGCCCCATTTTCTTTGTTCTCCGGTAACGGAGTCTAAACACTTTTATTATTGTGAACAGAATATTTTCATATAAAGAATTAGTGACTTTCGTTAACAATTAATTGTCATTCTTTTCAGAAGTTTTAATATATAAAAACGTCTTAGGACTCCGCGACAGTTTAACCTTCTTATCAATTATTAGATCGTAAGAATCTTTTCATTATAAAATTATAAAACTTTGTAATAATTTATATGTTATTATCCATTTCATTTTTTAGGAAATAAAGAGTTTCTCTGCATTATCGATTTCGATTTGTGGGTTATCCTGTTGTATTACTGTTCATTATTGAGAATCTTGCTGCTATCCGACAACAAAAATATAAATATAGATTAAACTCTATATTTTCCTTGTTCAGGATGTAGAAACACAGAAGAGAGAAGGAGAAATGGAAATAGAAAATTTAAACGCTTCCTTGGACAGTTTAGATCAGCTGAGAATACAATCTTTACAGGTTACACACTTTTTATATCATCAAACCTACAGTACGGTCTAAAAACTGGGAAAAAGGAAGACGATATTTAAGTAATGTCATTTTTATTTGATTTTTTTATAAATCAGTTTAACCAGTATATTGAGTTTCAACTGATTAAGTGAACTGGGCCTGTTTAACCTGCACAATAATTGTTTATTGAACTATCTAAATTCATAACTTGAATATACAGTACTAGTAGTAATCTTCATATTCTATAGTTTTGTGGGTCTTACTGTATTATATTCATAGTATATTCACCAAACCTTAAATATATGATATTCACCAAACCTTAAATATATGATATTCACCAAACCTTGATTATATTATTTTCACCAAAGCTTAAATATATGATATTCACCAAAGCTTAAATATATGATATTCACCAAACCTTAAATATATGATATTCACCAAACCTTGAATATATGATATTCACCAAACCTTGAATATATGATATTCACCAAACCTTAAATATATGATATTCACCAAACCTTAAATATATGATATTAACCAAACCTTGAATATATTATATCCACCAAACCTTGAATATATGATATTCACCAACCTTGAATATATCATATTCACCAAACCTTAAATATATGATATTCACCAAACCTTGAATATATTATATTCACCAAACCTCGATTATATTATATTCACCAAACCTTAAATATATGATATTCACCAAACCTTGAATATATGATATTCACCAAACCTTGAATATATGATATCCACCAAACCTTGAATATATTATATCCACCAAACCTGAAGCCTGGAGTAGATATATGTATAGTTACTATCCTGAACCCTGCATCTAAGTGTTTTTCTAATAATTAATTCAGCCTCTTCTCATCCTATCTAGGGCTGGTCTTGAGCCATAAAACGATTCGTTCCACCTTTGCTGACGAGGACATTCATTTGGATTGTTCGTTCAACGTTTTCTAACATGGGGCTTTCACGTTTCACGTTTCCTATTTTCTAAAATGCTCGCTTCCAAAATGTTGTGTTCCTAATTGTAATCATGATTTTTAAGTTGATTGTTAAAGACGTTTAATAAGAATTGGGATAAGTAACCTTATATTTATAACGTATATTAAAATATTGATCTTTAAATAAGAAGAAAATAAAGTTTTTCCATCCAAAAAAATACTTCTTTCCACGGTCGTTAGTTTACTATCGTTTCAGTTTCTTGAAGAACGGTCGTGACTTAGGTCATAGATTTTCAAAACGATGTCATTGTAAACGGAAAATTCAGTTCGTTCATCAATTAATCGTTCGTTCTCTGATAACGACGCCCAGTCCTAATCCCTCTCTCTCTTCTAAAGTTTCTATCCTCTGCTCTCCGATCCAACTTTTTCTGACAAAGTTTGACACAAACTTAATGGCTAAAGTGTTCAAGAGCGAACAAAGTTACTTCAAATAAAACAACATTGAGAACTGGAGGCTTATAGGCTACAGGGCATACAGTGAGACTCATAATACTCTGGAGAAAGGAAATCGACATTAAGGGAATATCATGTGTAATTTTGTAGTTTTGCTAGTTGCTAAAAATCAAGTTTTTAAATGAAATGAGGTTATGTAGTACTGTACACATCTTTACGGGTCTCACTTCAGTACATAAATTTAAATGATTAAATATGTAGGGTAGGGTTGGTAATGGTATAAAGCATGCTTCAATAAAATAACTATTGGGTTTATGTGCTGTATATATATTATATACAGGGTTACCCACACAGAATGAGACTTCAGAGAATATCGTAAGGTTTAAAATATTTTTTTTTCTGACGTTCATGGCCGGTTCACTGCCGCTGTAAACTAGTTTCTTCAGTAGCTAAATCATTTTGTATATATTAAACACCTGAAAACTGTGGAATTCGCCTTTTTTAAGCTAAGAAATTACGCTGAGAATTTTTCAATTAAATTTTTTTTTTTAAGTGTCCTTAACATTTTTAGAAATATATCAGTGGTAAGAATTAAAACTTTATTTACATTTTTACGTTAAAAAAAGTGGTCCACACTGTAATATAAAAGGCAGAAGACAAAATTCAAAAGGAATTGTTATGTAGTCATTAAAGTTACTTTTTTTGTGTGTCTCCCTGTATTTGTATAGTAAACATTATCTGTGTGTCTGCCTGTATTTATATAATAAACATTATTTGTGTGTCTCCCTGTATTTATATAATAAACATTATTTGTGTATCTCCCTGTATTTATATAATAAACATTATTTGTGTGTCTCCCTGTATTTATATAATAAACATTATTTGTGCGTCTCCCTGTATTTATATAGTAAACATTATTTGTGTGTCTCCCTGTATTTATATAGTAAACATTATTTGTGTGTCTCTCTGTATTTATATAATAAACATTATTTGTGTGTCTCCCTGTATTTATATAATAAACATTATTTGTGTGTCTCCTTGTATTTATATAATAAACATTATTTTGTATTTATATAATAAACATTATTTGTGTGTCTCCCTGTATTTATATTATAAAACCTGAGTTCTGATGTTGACCTAAATCTAGGAAATAAAACCTTTAAGCACAATGTTAAACAGCTTGCCAGGCAACAAACTTAAAGGGACTGTTTAGAAAATTTAAAAAGGGTATAAAAGATTAATCAATACTTTTCAAAGCTGTGTTCGCCCATTACAGTGATCTAATGTTTGAAAGTTCTCAAGCAAAACAGTATCAAAGAATTACTAAGGTCAAAACAAAGGCCAAGTTGCAACACTACACCCAGTCTCGAAGATGGATGACAGTCTGGATCTTTGTGCCATGATGGGTGTACCAAAATAAAAATTTCAACTTCAACATGCAGCCATGTTTTCCCATTCTCTGTCCTCTTCGTTGGAATACACTGATATCCATAAACAACCATAAAAGTTATTCATCAAATATTTAGACACTACAGCCTCAATTTTAAGGAGTCGCAACCTAGTCACATATATATACTTTTTTGTAACCCAATGAATATACATTTTACCAAAAAAGTTGTCAAGTACAATAGATTGCAACACAGAATGCGTACACTTTCAGTACAGCTGTCTGAAAAACTATAAATAAAAGTGATAATGCATAAGACTAAAGTGCTAATCTTTTTGTGAAATCAGTGAAATTTTATATTCTTTTTTTTCTGTTTTTACTTAACAATCTATTTGCATTTTACAATTGTAAGTTTAAAAGGAGTAGGAGTAAAACAACATGCTCGATTTTTGCGTTAGAGCGTGTACATCTAGGTTCGGAGTGAATATTGCTTTAAAAACATCAAATGTATAATTTCAGGCAGTCCAGAATTTGACAACATCTTTTGACCTGAATTAGTTTGTCAATAAAGACAATAAAATTATATCATTTAAAACTGTAATTTCTAATTCCGGTTTTAGCAAAATCATTCTGTGATAGTTTACTTCAAGCACCAAACCGAATTTTGGGCGGCCAGACCAAAGCTGGACACTCTTGTGTTGAATCCCGTTTGCTTAATCTCGATATCTACTATGGACACTTTAGATTATCTGCTTAATCTCTTTTTGATATCCCTGTTGAGTTCCGACCTACTCATTGAATGCGCGCAAGATTTCCTGGCTTTGATTGGATTTTCGGTTTCTGCAAACGACACTCTGATTGGTTGAATTTTAGACACTTTCCTAGATATCAAAAAAAGATTGAATTAATCTGAGGATTAACAAATATAGAAGATCAAGCATTGATCTTAATATCCACCATATAAGATTTTCGAGCTGAGCTTGTATGTATACTGTAGACATGCTGATTTTACGTTTAGACGGGACAGTACTCTTTCTCTTACATCCTTGTAAGATTAATATAAAAAATACCTTTAGTCTTATTTTCGAAATGGTTTTCTTTAACAGAGTATAGATTGAACATTTTCAATATTTTACTTTTCTAAGATTTAGAATGTTCAAATAGGAATTTAGAAGTCAATATAAATTGTGGATTGGATAAAGTGAATCGAATCAAGAATAATAGTTAGGAAAGAAATTGGCTCTTTTATAAGAATTTGTACAAATAGAAATACTCGATATAAACATATAAAAAGGAGTTTCTTAGGCTTTTACAGGTCTTCTAAAAGCATTATCACTCATTTTAGAATAAGACTCAATGTGAACAAGTTTTATGCACTTTTCCGCACGTTAACAGGTTTTGGTTAAGTTTTTTTTTTATTAATTTTGCACGTTTTCGTATCCGATTCAGTACTTTGTTACCAATTAGGCACGTTTTTATTTATGAAATTAAAAATGTCATTGGTAATGATTAATCAAGAAATAAACAGGGTTACCCACAATGAATGAGACTGTAATGACGACCTGAAACTATTAAATTATGAAGTTCCAAAGGTTAAATTAAACCTTCTGCCTGGAATACAGTCTTTTAATGAGGTTTTCATATGATTTAGCCAAAAAAGAAACAGGTTTAAAGTTGGAAGGAATCATAAGGAAACTGCAGTATAATTTTCGTGCGATCATCTCTAAAGTCTCATCATTTGTGGGTAACCCTGTAGCCTGGCGGAGTAGTAAGATTTATTTCAATCTGTTTTGGATGTTTTTTGCCAGTGATAAATGCCGATTGCTCCTAGGCCTCCAGGTAGTATTCATAACCAAGTCCTTTAAGACCTTGTTTAAAACCTTTAGAGGCTGCTAGTTGAGAAAACTTTATTAACAAATTCTCAAACTTGAAATTGAATTAGTCTGACGCAATATTTCTTAAAGCATTTTAAATTCTAATGTTTTCTTAAAGGTTCTGTCGCCGTAATCTCACAGGACTGTAAACTAAGGTTCATTTCAAGTACCGTGCCAAATTTTAAGCAGCTAGCACTGCGATTTAATGGTCTCACGCTCTCAAGCAAAAATCGTTGAGAATTTTGCCAATTACTTCTAAAAAACCAAATCTAACAAGAAGTGCTTTACATTGCTAAAATGTACATGTAAAGGGCTACAGAAAAGCCTAAGTGAGTTAGAGCGGTAAAATCAAAGCTTAGGGCGTTGCGACACTTCAAAGTCAGTCCTGTCTTAAAAATTGATGAGACTGTTTATAAGGAGGCTGAATCTATGTGCTAGAGCAAGCTGTACAGTACACATCGAGACTATATATAGGGCAAAAT